TCATTAATGACTCTTTGTTTAATGCATCACTTTCCTTCTGATTCATAATGATGTGCTGCTATGATGGTCTATGGGCCTATTAGGCTACAGAATCCTAAGAAATACAATAAAGCTTTTCTTTTTTGATGCAACAAAGCAGTTTAACGGGTGTAAATGTTTCTGGAAGGCTTCAATTGGGTTCTATTTTATAGAATATACAAAGTTGATTCTGATTTTTAAATGTTTTTTTGGCCCATTAGGGACGTAATGCTCTCATTTTAATTGTTTTATTTTAGGGAAATGTCTGTTTCTGTCGGGTCTGACTGAGCAGCAGCTTAACTACATGCACGACCAGAGCCTGCCTGAGAAATACAGCATCGGCTTCACTAACATGGTGGAGAGGACCACACCGGGCAGCAAGGACCTCTCCAGGTAAACTCATGAGTGGCTTACTTCTGTCATATTATTAAAATGAAAAGGTGTGTTTTCTTTTTTAATTCCAAGGTCATTTTTTATTATTTATTTTGGTTTTTAATCAGCTGTTAAAGAAAGTTTCCCCTTTTTTGGTCATTTTCTGTTTGGCAGTAAGGAAATCCGAGAAGGAGGCCGACAGTTGCTTGAAAAGCTGCAGAAGTACAAACCGTTAATTGCCGCTTTTAATGGAAAAGGTGAAAAAGAAAAGTTCCTGTTTCCATAATAAAATATCTCACCCACCCAGACGCTGATAGCATACATCAACAACCATTTTATTCATTTTATTTCAGGAATTTACGAAATATTTAGCAAAGAAATCTTCGGCGTAAAGGGCAAGAATCTTGAGTTCGGCCTGCAGCCTCACAAAATCCCAGAGACTGAAACGGTATGTGGCGAGAAGGTTGTTTTATTATCGAACGGCTCTACCAGTTATTTATTAATCCTGTGCTTTAGGTGTGCTTCTTAATGCCGTCATCGAGCCCACGATGTGCCCAGTTTCCCCGTGCTCAAGACAAGGTCCATTTCTACATAAAACTGAAGGAACTACGTGACCATTTGAAAGGCCTGACACCCAACAAGGAGGTGATGGAGACCCAGTACTCATTTGATCTGCAGCTTGCTAAAGGTAATTAGAAAGAAATCATCTTTCATTCCTTTAGAGACAGCATGAAAAGTCA